AAGGTTGAAGGCACATGACAACGTTGCTAATATTGGATATACGAGGAAGAAAGCCCCAACCTTGTGCCAGTGTCTAAGGGATAAATAGAGAGGGCCTTAATAATGATTGTGGTACACACAACTACGGGGATCGATATAATGTGCCGATGCAGCCCGCTATTGTTGGAGTATATGAAATATGTGGGGAAGAGATAGCAATGCTAGTGATGAGGTTGTGCTGAATGGAGAAGAAATGGTGCAGAGCAGATGCTCCTGCCCAAAGGCAAACAACCACTTGCTCGAAGGCAAGTAGTCGTGACGCAAGGTACGGTGATGGCAGTAGCACTTGATGTAGTGTTTTCCTACATGCTAAATGCTAGACGGTTGGCCACCCTTTGTTTAGCGTTCAACCGGAGTAGATAGAAATTAGATGATTTCAATCGTTTCACTATAGGAATACATATGCATACAAACACTATAATTTGATACTAAACTTTTAAATTGTGACTTGAGATATGCACACAATTGCAAAATAAGACATAGAAAATTATATATATAGTCACATAGATAGTAGACATGTAGTTCTCACATAGTTAAATGATTAACTATCACTATGCAATAACATTACAATAGGCATTAAGTTCTAACAACAACACAAATATCAAATAGTTTTACCTAGTGGTTATCTATCGTCAACACCGTTGTTTAAATTCCTCAGCTAATGTTTAAACATGTTTAAATAAGATTTATATGTACCATTTAAGTTGTTTTTACGCCTTTGACCATTTAAAAGTTTTTCGTTTAATTCACCATTTAGGTCAGTATAGCCATAGTTTAGCATTTATAGACGAAGGTTTAAATGATTTTAAGTGGACACTTGCTCGATGTTGGTGATAAAGATCCAACCAACATGATGATGACCAAGTGCAGACAAATGCGTACAAGAGATTGTGCAGCACAATTGTAGATGCACAAGAGATAGTGACATAGATGATGAGACAAACGAGTTGTAGTGTTATGGCCTGAAGAGGCTGACATAGCAACAACCCTATTGCTTAGAGAAGATGTGCATAGTTATTCGATGATAAACATCTCCAGAACCAGTAGATTGTGGACAATTTGCTGATCCTACTAAGTACATGCGAGTTGGGATGATGATGGAGAAGTCAGCAGAGGTGTCCCGGTGTATGGTGGCGATGACAAACTAGCGATGTAGATGCAAATGGATGACTAAGAAATGTCATAGGAAGGCATCCCCTCGGTATTGTTTTCCCATCCTGGCCGCACAGTCGTCGAAGAGGTAGAGGGCAGCGCAAGCAACACCGATGTCAGAGTAGATATGTGAGAGATCGATAACTGGTGGACGACTCAACCCCGATCAGCCATGTGCATGTCCCGGGTATGCCTAGCCTTGCAACCCTGTCATTTTTTCTATATATGACCCATATGTGAAAAATACAGGCACAAATAGAGAATAGAGGCAAAGAGGAGAGGCATGTCGCAAGGAGGCCAAGTGGTTTTGGGATCGAGTGGATGGTGGTGCAGCCAGACGTGGCACGTATTGGTCAACATAGGGCCAAGCAGCCAAAGGCAGCATGGCTTGGTCATCTTGAGAACAAGTGGCTGGAGGCAGCATGGCCCAGACGTCTCAGCAACAACAAACAACTAACCATTGGTGTTTAGTTTGTTTTCAGCCTGCTTGACTCGGGCAAAGCAGTTGTTGCATGGGACAAAGGCCGAGGTGGTGAAGAGGAGCAAGATAAGGCCTAGTCCTATGGACGAAGCACATGGACATGGCACAATATTGTCTAGTAGCCACCACGTTAGCTCGGGGATGTGGCACGACCTGGTTTGGCCACCACCACAATGATGCGGGACGTGGCTTAGATCTCCAAAAGATGCTTTTGAAGCCTCTCACATGCTTGCTTGTCTTCAATTTCCTTGTGGATCTTAAGGAATTCTAACAACACAAGTGGGTTATGCCATTGATACTCCTCCTCCCTCAGCACCTTGCCACTATCTTGGTCATAGTTACAGCCCCCAACATCATCCTCATCCTGTTCAGCGTCAATGATCACACTGTGCATGATCACAATAGTTGTCATTATGTACCAAAGGGTCTCTTTGTTCCAAAATTGGTGGAGGCTATTGGGGAAGTCACGTGGGCAGCCATGGGAGGACGCGACGGTGGTGGGAGCCTACCAGGGAGTGAGGGTCCATTCTGGACAATAGAGACGTAAGGAGATGGTAGATCTACATAGCGATAGCAGGCGGGCGGGATCCACATCGAAGTAGAAGAGGAAAATTGAAAAACATAAAAGTAGAGGCATCCTCAAGAGCTACAGGAATAGAGGTTAAGGAGAGAATTCAGGAGCCTTCTACTTTTGGGACAGAGTAAGGTCCTATTGAAGTGTGTTTTTTATCCAACATCTAAAAGTATGATAGATTCCGTACTGAAAATACTATCACACCCTCTATACTTTGTCTTCTTTCATAAGTTGCATTAGACAGGATCTATAAGGGTGTGTTTAGTTTATGGGCAAAGTTGAAGGGGATATATATGGCCATCCATGGATTTTGGAATGTGTTTATCCAAGCTGCCTGTGTGGTTGGACAGATATGATGAGCTATTTTCTGTTTGACTATGGATGGATGATGGTGGAGGGGACGAGAGTATTTGACTAATTATGTCTATCATTTAAAAACAATAACAACTAATTAGACACTACCATCCTCCATCCCAAATTATAGGTTGTTTTGATTTTTCTATGTATATAGCTTTTGCTATGCGCCTACACATACAATATTTGCAGATCATAATAAAAGTTGTCTATCTGGAAAAGCCAAAACGACCTATAGATTGGAACGGAGGGAGTATAATAAAGATGCACTGCACCAATTTTGTCATAATAATCACTCATTAGAAATAAAATGTTAATTAGCACCAATACTATTATAATTGGCACACAGAACATGAACTAATCAACATATTAGAACATATCAAATTAATCTTACCATCATGATTACTAAGTAATATTATAACATGCTAATAATTCTTAATTTATTTACATAATGATAAATATTAGAAAATATAGACAAACTTGTGTGACATATTTTTATGAGCAAGTTTATCCAACATCTATAGAGAACATTCTTTTGTGGTGGATATCTCCTATGCGAACTGCGTGCAGAGACTCATGCAGCGATGTGTAATTTGGACCACGACTATCAAACACAGCCGTTCCTCCGTACTCCCTCTGTCCCATTGAAAATATCGTTTTTGATTTTTAGACTTCTTATTTGACCGTGTCTTATTCAAAAATTTTATATAAATATTATTTATTTTGTTATGACTTATTTTATCATTAGAGATACTTTAATAATGATTTATTTATTTCATTATTTGCATAAAAAATTAAATAAGATAAACGGTCAAATAAGAAATCTAAAAGTCAAAAATAACACTTTCAATGGAACGGAGAGAGCACGTATATCTACAGACTATTTGCGCTCCACCACGCATAAATTCAAACCCTAGTCACAGGCGTTTAATTTACGTTGCCAACTTGCTCGCATAGAAGCTGATAGATGCCGACATGAGCCATAGTCATGCAGCTCCACTGTTGTTATTCTACGAAGCCTTGACAACTGATGAACCCGGTGCATGACATAAAGCTTTGTCGACCAGGCCGGCAGCAGTTAAGACTATCTCTAGCGACAACGCTTAAAATATAAGATCCATTTAATATTTAAATATCGCTACAGTTAAAGGCTTCAATACCCATTCGACATTCTCTTCAACAACGGGACTAAAAAAATCCTTTCTACAAATAGATTTTCAGGAGAGAGGTACCTTATATTTGGGTTATACCTTTTAGACAATTCAAAATGAATCTCTCATATAGATACTCTGTTGAACACTAATTTTAGATCTCCTACTATCTATTTTAAATATATAATATAGGTACTCATATGGATCACCGTTCAGAGACAGTCTAACAAGTTGGAAATGCATCACACTCTGCAGCAACGAAAGCGACTATTATATATTAACGTGCAATTCTTTTGGTCTCGAGATAATAATAAATAAACTAAAGCACACAAGTAGGTGAGCACTGCACTTGTTTCATTTTTGTTTTCTCTCTCTGGAGACTAGTAGAGTGGAGACTAGAGAGGTCCAGGACAGTGACGTGGACTGTGAAGTGTGCCCGGGGAGACCGACGTGTACAAGCAGCAGGTGGAGAAAAATGTTCAAGAGGAGTCGCCGCTAAGCAATGAAGGGTGTTTACGGAATTCGGAGAAAGATGTTCACAAGCCGCGTACACAAGGCATATGGCGCGTACTGTGGGGCCTTCAATCTTGTTTAGCACTAGCGAGAGGATGCCATTTGTACGGACACATTTCATTCCCCAGTTGGCATAAATTTGTAACGTGCCGGTTTAAAATACTCCACGTTTAGCTGCCACGTAGCGTTGTGGAACTAGAATTGTGGTGCTTATATAGGTTCTTAATTAAAATTTTGGGCTCAGAAGATTCAATTTCCCTCCTTGATGATGATTGATGCGCGCAAATGCATTCGTGTAGCACATTCCAAAATTATTGGAAAAATAGGAAGACGTACAAAGCCACAAAGGTGCCAGGGGTGAACTTGAGCCGATTAGATAAACTTTGCTGTCCAAATCAATTCGGTCACCCCTCAATGAATAATGAAGATGAGGAGCTGAGACGCCCACACCACACTCATCGCTCATCAGGCACACTTTTCTTGGCTGAGATGGCGACCCCCACAGCCACGAAAAAACTGGACTAGTTTGCCCACGCCTCCTGGCCTTCATTTTTCTATAAAACCAGGCGAGGCGCGCCACTCAGCAAAAAATATCTCGCTGCGCTTTTCCGAGTCCTTTTCCCTGCAGGCAACAGGAACAGCCGGCGCTTTTACCCCACCCGCACCCGCTTTCCCCTCCCCTCCAATAACAGGAGCGACAAGGCTCCTCCTCCTCCTCGCAATAATTCATTCATCCATGGCGAAGCTCGTGAACAAGCTGGTCGATTCGTTCGACCACGACGACACCCTGGACGTCGGCTGCGTGCGCGCCGTGCTGGCCGAGCTCGTCCTCACCTTTCTCTTCGTCTTCACCGGCGTCTCCGCCGCCATGGCCGCCGGTACGTACTTGTCCGTGCATCCACCGCGTGCTGTCAGAGTCAGGCCGCCTCCTCTCTCTGCGGTCTTCAATTTCCTTCTACTTTTAATTCCTCTGGGCTCTGGCCACAAAAAGAAAGATTTCTTTTTTTTTCCCCTAACTAATCTTTGTTGCTATATGGTGCGTGGTTCTGCACGGGGCAGGGTCCGGCGGGAAGCCCGGCGAGGCTATGCCGATGGCGACGCTGGCGGCGGTGGCTATCGCGCACGCGCTGGCCGCCGGCGTCCTGGTGACGGCCGGGTTCCACGTCTCCGGCGGCCACCTGAACCCCGCCGTGACGGTGGGGCTCATGGTGCGCGGCCACATCACCAAGCTCCGGGCGGTGCTCTACGTCGCCGCGCAGCTGCTCGCGTCCTCCCTCGCCTGCGTCCTCCTCCGCTACCTCAGCGGCGGCATGGTACGTACGTCGATCCATGGATCTCATCTAGGATAGGAGTACTACCTGTTTTTACTCTACGTAGTAATTACTGCCGTCCTTGACGAATTCGCGGTCCAAAGGATGGGGGAAAGAAGAAAGGGGGCCAGAAATTGCGGTTTCCTTCGTTGAGTCCTATATATGCTTGGTGCGTGCTGTCGGATGGCGATTGTTTCGGCAGATTTTGGCCGGCCATGCTTGTCTGCCTCAGATCAACTTGGGCTGGGCTCGAACGTGTGAGAGCCTCTATGCTGGATCTGGCCCTTTCAGGGGCTTCAGTGGGCTTATGGATAATTAGTTCCTTTAGGCCTTGTTTGGATGCACGTGTATCCATCTCAATCCACGTGTGTTGAAGTGGAATGGAATGAAATTTAGTTTAATTCCACTCTAATCCACTTCAACACATTTGGATTTAGATGAATACATGCGTATCCAAACAAGGCCTTATTAATTTTGTTGTTCACTCTGCTTATTTTGGCCTTTATCGATGAAAGGTCAAAGGAAACATATTTATCCATCTCAAAAAAGGGAAACATATTTATCTCATAACAAAAAACTGATGTTTTTTCCCATCGCCGTTTACTGCTTGGTAAAAGTACTAAAAATGAACTAAAAACGAACAGTGACCATCAGAATGTCCAAAATTAGGTGTAGGGGGAGCATCATAACTCGTACTCCCTCCATATCGAATTATAAGACGTTTTGGTTTTTCTAGATATATAGGTTCTGCTGTGCACTTAAATATACACTCTGTTTAGATACATAGTAATTCTGAACGGAGAGAGTAATTGATTTAAGTCGATTGCTTCCTTTGGAACACAAACTAAACTTGACAAACTTGGATATGCATCTGTTAAGTTCAGAATGTGCAGATCAGAATAGATTGGATGCAGTCTTATCTTCTTGTGAGCTTGACAGTTTTCATGAATGCGTCCTTATAAAAAAAAAGTTTTCATGAATGCTTGTACAGTTGAGGTTCAGTTTTCATACAAGCTTTTAGAAAATTTTCCATTGTTAACAATATTTTCACCAAGGTTGTGGTTACTAGGTTTATATGACCATGAATTTTGTCTGATTATGGCTTCCTATAAGTTCATACCATTCCAATATTCCATGTTACCTACCTATCTGGTGCATGAGCTTCTGCGTTTTACTACGAGTCATAAGGATGCTCAGATCAGCTGTGTAGATTTGGTGATGTAAGTTTAAATTTTCATAACAATTGCTCGTGAAGTTACCAATCAAATGTGGCCTTTCAGATTTTTCAGATTCAGAAGAGTTAGTATATATAACATGGTCGATTAAAGCCAGGAGATGGACTAAATCGTAGTACTTGTCTATGAATCTGGACTAAATCATACTTATCTGCTATGACGGCAGTGAACTGACCAATATTTGTTTAACATCACTTTTTCCATCATGAATTAAGAATGGAAGCTGCTGAAAACGACTACTAGTCCTGCAGCATCAGCGGGCTTGCAGTGCTGATGAAAATGTGAAAATGCAGGTGACCCCGGTGCACGCCCTGGGCGCTGGCATCAGCCCGATGCAGGGCCTGGTGATGGAGGTGATCCTCACCTTCTCCCTGCTGTTCGTCACCTACGCCATGATCCTGGACCCACGGAGCCAGGTCCGCACCATCGGCCCGCTGCTGACGGGCCTCATCGTCGGCGCCAACAGCCTCGCCGGCGGCAACTTCACCGGCGCATCCATGAACCCGGCTCGGTCCTTCGGGCCGGCCCTGGCCACTGGGGTCTGGACAAACCACTGGGTCTACTGGATCGGCCCGCTGCTCGGCGGGCCCCTGGCTGGCTTCGTGTACGAGTCGCTGTTCATTGTGAACAAGACGCACGAGCCGCTGCTCAATGGAGACATCTGACGAACCATCGGCCGGCCCCTGTGGGCAGTCAGCATGGTTCATGCTTGTTTCTGTAAAATAGTTCATTCTCTACAAGCATGATGGATACATATATTGGCCAAGGCAATTAGAGAGGGTTGCTGTAAAATAGTTGCCCTGGTAGGGCTGTTGGATGTAGAAATTGTTGATGGGCCTTGTTTTTTTTTCCTTTTCCTGATAAGGAATTCTCTTTTTTCTTAGAGGGCTGGGTTCTGTCAAGGATTTGTTAAGGCTATTAGTTAGCCATGTAGTAGAAAACTAGAGAATGGTATACGTGGGAGTGGGACCTGACGTTTTTTCAGGTACACTGTAGTACAGTACTATGGTATTTTTTTTTGTCTTGATGAAGATGGAACTGGGTGTACAGAGTAAATACTTCTCTTTCAAGCAGTATTTTATTTATGCCTACCGCATTTTAGTAGAAACCAGAACAAAACAGAACACCATTCTACTCCGTACATCATATTCCAAATGCTGAGAATGAGGTGTCACATTGAACGGACCTAATCCCTGATCGAATTTTGGTAAATGATCCATGAACTTTACAAGTAGAAAGGCGCGGGTGCATGAACACTATGGCAGAATGGTGCGCCTGAACTGAATTTCATCCATTGAACTATGCACATGTTCTGCATGCATTGCGTTTCCCTCAGCAGAAACTCGCGGATCACACACACACACACACACACACACATGGTCCCGTGGTCCGGATTGGATTTTTTCGACATACATAGCCCATAGTAGGACAATAATTCTCCAATTCTGTCGTCACATTTCGGTCTGTGCCGGGAAATGCGAAAAGACTCGTCACCTACCGTGGAAATATACACGTGTAGCTTGCCAAAGGAAAGACGGAGACTGAACAGGTGAACACCAATCTTGGTGCGCCCGTGATGCAGAGCAAGGCGTGGAAGTGCTCCAGCAAATGCCGTGAGAGTATTGACACTAAAGAATTTTAGAGTTGGAATCCAAAGACATTGGTTCTTTCACTGTGAATGGTTTTTTTAATAAAGACACTCAAAAAGTGTCTCATATATGATATTCATCGAGAAAAAACAATTGATAGTACAAAAATTACATCACTTGACATATAAAACAAAATTGAAAAAAGAAAGTATAAAAAACCACCCGATGATCTTCTTCCTCCGGTCGTCAACCGCATATTGGAGTTTCAAAATCAATATGAATTGATAGTAAGGAAAAGGTACACTTACAGGTTTCGAAGACCACAAAAACCACTCGCTAGTGGTAGCGTAATCAGGTACTCATCGAAAGAAAAAATAGCTGAAGAAATTTTTATGGAACATAGGCTTACAATCTTTCATCATCAGGAAAGGGCGTTGGAGAAACAGACCTTCTCATAGAACATTTCGAGAAGATGAAATCACCACATCAAAAGCCAATCAACTACTTCCCTTGATAAACACACCTACTAAGATATGAAAAAGCCAATAGATGTAATTGACCATACTTTCTGTCGGTGCAGAAAGTGACCAACACGTAAATATTTGTAGTTTTGTCGTACGTTGTGATCGGAGGTGGCCTAGCACTCAATGACACAGGGTTTATACTGGTTCAGACAACGTGCCCTACGTCCAGTTTAAGTCGGACGGTGACTTTATTCCTGAGCCCAGGTGCTCGAAATTTGCAGTGGGGTTACAAACGAGAAGGAGGAAGATGGGGGTACAAGAGGTCCGGTCGGACTCCGACCGGAAGGGCCGAGAGTGACGGGAGCCCCGTTATGAGCTAAGTGTTCAAGCGTGTGCTTGTGGTTTGAACCTGGCGGTTCTGTTGTTGTGTGCTAGTGAACTTGATCGATCTAATGAATCTAAGTGAGTCTGAATGAATCTCCCTGTTGGAAGAGAGCGCATCCCCTTTTATAGATGAAGGGGATGGCCTTACAAGTGAGAGGGATGGAGTACGTTTGCTGCTAAGTCTTGTTGCCCACGTCGGTGGGTACAGGACGATGGTAGGCGCCCACAACACTGTTGGATGTTAGATGCACGTGGGAGGTTGTGTTGTCTTCTTCGGGTATGGCAGACGTCGGCGCCTGCCACACTGTTGAGACCTGGAGGCATGCAAAGGGTTTTTACCATGTTCGCCTGGTACGGTAAATGCCAGCGCCCACAACACTGTCGATGCCTAGATGCATGTGGGGGGAGCCTTATCGTAAGGGAGTTAATGGCGCCCACAATATTGTAGGGGAAAATGTCGGCGCCTACAACACTGTTTGGGCTCTGTTGTGCTAGGGAGGTTGTAGAGTACTGTTTCTGCAGGTGTACAGGGTACGGTCCCCCATATGGCGGTTTGACTTGCGTGCCCTGCTTTACTTTCTCCATCCGTTTCCTGATCCTTACCGAGAGGGCATCCCCAGTCGGTGGGTCCCAGTCGGCTCTGATTGCGCCAGTCGAAGAAGAGCAGTGAGCACGGGTTTGGCGTACCCCCGGTCGGAGACGCGGGTCAGAGTCGGAAGTGGTGTTAGGCCAAGCCTTCCGGTCAGAGAGGCCGTCTGGAGGCGGGCTGGAGACCGAAGCGAGTGCTCCGGTCGAGAGGCGGGCCAGAGTCGGAAGCGGGCGTCGTTCCTCCTTGACCAGGCCTTTCGGTCATTGATTGGATCGCCATTCTGGCCTATCGTTCGGGTACTTGGGCCGGCCCATGAGTTTGCACGTCTATTTGCAACGTTGCCTACTGGGCCGAGCCTCTGTTGGGAAGCCGGTCCGTGAGGGACCCCGGGTTTATGAACCCGATAGGAGCCCCAAGCCCCCGGGCGATTCGGGCAGAATCGTCTGGGGAATTTTTGGTCTTGACGGTGGGTGTAGCCCTCGAGCCCCCAGGCGATTCGGGCAGAATCGTCTGGGGTTTTTTTTGCGTTGCCAGCGGGGGAAGTTTTTGTTTCGTCAGCGGGTGCGCGCGAGCGCACCCGCAGGTGTAGCCCCCGAGCCCCCGGGTGATTCGAGTAGGATCGCCTAGGGGGTTTTGTCAGCGGGCGTGTGTGCGTGTTTTTTAGTCGAGACAGAATTGTTAACCAAGGCGTCGTTGCGTAGCCGAGGCGGTTAGTTTTTAGGGACCGGACGAGATGGAGCTCACAGATCCGGGCATCGGTGCGCGCCGTGGGATCGGGCGAGTTGGGGTAGTGGATCCTGGCATCGGTGCACGCCGTGGGATCGGGTGAGTCGGGGTCGTGAATCCTAGCATCGGTGCGCGCTGTGGGATCGAGGCGATTAGTCAGTTAGTTTAAGGATCGGGCGAGGTCAGGGTTGCAGACCCAGGCGTTTGGTGTGCAGTCAAAGCATAGCCGGATGGGGCGAGTTAGGGGTTGCAGACCCAGGCGTTTGGTGTCTTGAGCCCCCGAGACCCGTTGGGCCTTGGTAGGGGTCGGTTTTGAGTTGTGTGCATTACCCCATCCTCGGTTTCTCACAACCGGAGGGGCTGAGTTTTGTCGCTTGCCTCGATCGCTCGGGCTTGAGTGACGCGCTCGGTGAGCTCGCTAACAGGCATGATCAAGTGGAATCCAGGCCCGTCGTTCGTGACGGGGTCGGCATAGCCCTCTTGTGACATTCCACTGCTCCTTTACCTGCAACCCGACAGATGCCTGGGTCATTCCAGAGACCGACCCAGGTGGCCTACTGGCCTCCCCTCGATGGAGACTCTGTGGGCTTGGCGAGAGGTTTAGGATCAAACGAGAAGGTTGAGATGACCCTGTCTGCTTTGGGGCAGACCGGGCGAGGGCCGCATGGGGCTTATCTATGTTTTCTCCCCTGGCTCTGTTTGACGTGGGGCGGCCTCGAGCCCTTTGTGGGCCGGCCTTTGAACCCCGGTCGGTCGTTGCTCATGTCGAATGAGGCAACTACCGCTTCATGACACAACATGGAGCGTTGTGATGCATTTCGCTGCACGTGCGATGCTTAGTTCCTAAGCCCCCGGGCGGTTCAGGGCCCGAATCATCCGGGGGCACTGGCGTGTGGAATGAATGCATGTATGGATGTATGAAATGAATATAAAGAAATAGCGGGGTTCGATAGTGTTACCTTGATGACTCGAGTGACGGGGTCTGAAGAGCTCCAATCGGAAATGTTCGACCGAGACTCGTGCTCGTTGTTCGTGACAGAGTCGGCATGGCCTACATGGGGCATACCTTGGCTCCTTACCTGCCTTTTAGTGTGTTTTTCTGAGCCATTCGATTGACTTTAGGAAGCCCGATGGTCTCTCCTGGCGGAGATCCCGTTGTTCGGGTTTTTCCATATCCCGCCTAGGGAGGCGGAGAGCTGCCTGCGCGTGGTGGCGCTTTGGTTTTTGCGCCCGGTGTGCGGTAGTGGTGGGCCATACCCAGGCCTTGTCCTGTCTTACCAGGCGTCGTTCCGTCTAACCAGGCGTCGTTCCGTCGGTCAGTGTGCGTCCTAGCGGTCAGGGTGCGTCCCATCGTTTCTCATCCGCATTGAATGGGGGAAGGGAGAGAGTTTTTTGCTCTGATCTTTTGCCCCTCTTTAGCTGTCACGTTTCCTCCTTAAATAGGTGGAGGGAGAGGGCTTCTCGTCGCAGTCCTTTGGCTGTTCTCCAACTACTGTCTCTCCTCCTTCTTCCTCACCGAGAGTGCCTGTATGCTGCGGCGGTTCCTAAGTGAGAGAGAGGGTAAGCGAGGGGAGGACTTACAGATCCTTTTATGAATCCAGAGTGCGATGTCGAGCTGGAGGCTGCCCGGGGTGGTGCTGGCTGTCTTTGCCTGAAAAGGGGCAGCTTCCACCGAAGGAGGTGGCGCGCTGGATTCATCTGTGAGGCCTTTTTCGGGATGGAGCCGTGTGTGGATTTTCTCCGGTGGATCTTCACCGGGCGAGCCTTGTCGGAGGGGAAGTTGCCCTGGAATGTGCTGGTGGAGGGTTCCGTGCCTGCAATTGCTCAGGTTGGCCAGTTAATAAAGTTTGATGAGATGTCTTCCAGCCATGGTGGCCATACCTCGGTGGCCACGTCCCTGCCCAGGAGCTGCC